TCAATGTTCTTTTGATCTTATGTAAAAATTAGGCTTCTTATTCAATTATATGCATACTTGATTTAATTAAATGTGTTTAATAGCATTATTGCTATATTTTAATGAGAATTGTGTATAATTTTAAAAGATTGGAAAAATGTAAGGGGCCGTTCAAGTATTACGTAAGCACTGTAGGGGGGGCGGGGGGCTTATTGATTTGCTTATTTTGGGTAAGAACTTTTGCTTACTTTTGCTGACAAAGGAGAGGCGGGGGTAAATAATTGTAATAAATCTGCTTACGTAATACTTGAACGATCCCTAAGTATATTTACTGATCACATAACCTGGGTCAAAGAACAATCTGGAGGCCAAGCCTCAGGTGGCTCTTGACTTTTATCGGGGGAGCAATAGAAAGTCCAGTGAGCCTCAACCTGATTCGAACCGGGAGAAAACCATCGCATTTTCATGAATTCCTCATGGTTAACCGATAGTAACATTTGCAAGCCGATTTCACGACCCCAAAATAGTTGCAATTGATCTCCGAATATCGAAATAGTAAACTCGTGAAATTGCCAATAATTTAAAATATTCTTTACAAAAATTTCTTTTAAAACGGCTGGTGTTGAATTAGCCATTGCCTGATACGTTATACTAGTTTTTTGCGAAACACCACTTGATAAAGCCACTATGACCTTAAAATTAGAGTTTTATTTAGTATTGTAACAAAAAATAAAATCTATTGAGATAATGTTTATAACTAGCTTACTCTGGGATAATCGACAGTTGGACTATTTTAAAATTAATAGCTGCTTCCTGGTGAGCACGAACGTAAAACTTTAAATCATAGGTGGTGTTAGTTTTCTCCAGCATCCAAAATCTTTTGAAATCACTTCTGTAGGTAATATGCACTTCGCAATAATCATCAATCATACAAAATGGCATATCCCACAATACATTTGTTCCATAAACACTGTAATATAAAAACTGGCCCTTTTCTATACTCAAAGGATTATCATTTTCCTCATATTCATTAATAAAAATAGGTTTCGATTGGCCTTCTAAACCCATGGACAAATAACCACCACCCCAGTTAATCCAAATATTAGTGAATTTCTTGGATGTCAAAATATTAGGCGTCTCTTCGCGCATAAAATCTTCCTCTTTTGTGCCCGCCTTTAATAGGCTTCCTAATAGCAATAGATTTATATAAATTAATTCACTTACTTTTATAATTTTAAATACTTATGTTTTACTTTAAATATTTATGAAGAACAAACCGTTATTCGATATTACAACTTCAACTCCGATTCCTAAATTATCCAACTGTGTAGAATCACATGGTATACTCATAACGGTCAATACAATTCGTATTTCTGCTCCCAAAAAATTGTCTGGCTCCCAACTTTTAACAGCGAATGAAATATTTCTTAATGTGTCGTTCATGTTTGTAAAATGGGTGTAAATAATGTGATCAGAAGGGTTACTCCTTGTGAAGAACATACAATCTCCATCGTCACAAAAAGGGATGTCACAATAATCTTTTTCATAAATATCATCTGTTTCGGTTTCAACGTAACACCAAGGGCCACCTAAATGTAAAAGCGAGTTGATGGAATAAAAATAGAACAATGGTGAAATACACCTTAAATGAATTTTACCAAAGACACTATGGAGTATTCCAATTTAGATTTTTTGAAAAATCGATTTCATTGTTTTTAAATATTTTCGAAGTTTAACTATTCAAGAATATGTGTACAAAATAATTTGTCAAAATTTAAATTATTTTCAGAGATATAGCTGTTTGACCAACTGTTGCCTTCGTCTGCGAAACTTTAAACGTGTTTTTCTCAAAACTGTCTTTGCGATATTATAACCACGATTTTTCAAATTCTACTGGACCGAATTACTAGAAATTTTTAAGAGTGTTCTTTGTGTATTAACTACAATTATCTTCAAATTCTGATTTAACAATTTTTAATAAAATTCGAGAATACCAAAAAGACTGCAAATTTGTTTCAAACAGTCCCTACTTTGTCAAAAAACATTTTTTTAACTTTAACTATATATTATATATATATATAAACAATTAATCTAGGATAAAATATTTCTTCAGATTGTTTTGAGAGCTTTGAAACATGAGTATGACTAGATACCACTTTTTTGAGATCCTCCACTTCATCACCTTCTAAAATTAAAACTTTGCTACTACTTATTTTCTATATTCTCAAAACATTGGGTAATAACTTGTAAAAAATTAATATAGTAAAAATGTGTAATAACTTTTCAAAAAATCTATAGTAAAAATATTGTTTGCCTATTTTACGGTCTTACAAAATCGCATATATATACAAGAATACCCCCATAATGATCACAATAACCGTTTTCAAATAATAAACATTTATGTAACTCTCAAAGTTAGACTAAATTAGTAAGGGTTTTCCCTTTCAAATTCATTCATCATTAAATATTAAATTAAAGCAGTTTAATTACCAATATCTCCATCTGGATTGCGACAAAAATCCATAGCTTTATTATTTGAACGTTCAGGAAACAAATAATCCTTAAATTCCACACCTTGCACAATATTCCCAAATGTTCTGATTTTTTTCAACTTCTTGCGCCACCGTTTGCATTTTCGAGATGTTACAGACTTTTCCATAGTACCACTATACTCCATCCCTAAGTGTTATATGTTATTCTATATATTTAAAAAGCAATTTTTATACATTTCATCACCTGGGCCTGTTAATTTGCAACCCTTGAATGAACATAAAGGTATTTCGCAAGAATCGTCAATGACATTCGGATCTAAGGTATAACACCAGGGCCCTGTAGGGCGTTTAGTGGGGTTTCGACAAAAATTTTCTGCTAATTCCATAGATCGTTCAGGAAAATCCTCGTCTACGAAAACATCCAACACAATCAAACAAACAAACCAACGAAACAAATAAAATCTCCTAGTGCTCCTAGTATTATACAAAGCTACAATTATAGCAGAGAACCTCTCTAGAAAATTTACTTGTGTAATTGCGCATTTATTTCTGTAATGTGACTATTAACAATGTTAACCTATAATTTTTAAATCAATCCTTTCTTAATTGCAAGCCTTGCACTTTCATTAATTAAGTGAATCAATAATAAATGTTATTAGTTGTCCTAATGACATATATTATTCAAAACATACTTATTTGAATGTAAAATTCAAATATAATGTTAGAATCGGAAAGCCTATGGTATTAATAAAATATAAATTTAAAACATTTTTTATAATTATAAGAGAGCATCCTTTCGACCTTTAATATCTGCACTAACAGGATGAATAGGTTGAATTGGTTTCCACTTTTGGCATCTAAGAAATGCCCCAGACACGGCAACAGATCCTGAAAATTCCACCCCTAAATGGCTCACTTTACACCGATCTAAATTTGTACTATTTATATCAGAGCACTCAGATTTATAAGTCTTTAATAGTATTATCAATATAATGATAATCATTCTATTTTTTTAACTTAGTTAATTTTACTGAAGAAAAATGTAATTCTCAATGATTAATTGAAAACTAATTCTTAGTGATTGATAGTCAATTGTTTTCAATGTTTGAGGAAACAAGGAAAATTCAATAATCATATTTGAGTAACAGTAATATAAAATTTAACTAGTGGTGTATGGCATCGTGCCTTAAGGCAAATTGCTGGAACTTCCTGTACCGTAACGAAATATTCGAGGAATATTAAATGTTTTCAAATAGATTATTATAAATATTGTAACATTTACTTATATTTATAAGAATTATATAAACAGAAATGCAAAGTTGAAATTATTTGTTTAAAGTATATTAGAACACAATTGAAATTCAAATCTGAATTATTTTCGATATACAAAAAAAAAATTTTTGAGTCAATTTTTTTTCCAAAAGTAATTATTTTGTTGAAACAAACAGAAAGTTCTTTGAATCATTCAAATTGAACGATTAGTTCTCTCAAAAACTGCCATTTTTGCACATTTAGCTTCGTATCTTCAAAATGACTGGGTCTGCCTTTGCTAAAAACTAATCACCTCTTCTCCCAATCATTACAAATTGAATGTTTTTTAGATCATTCAAATCGAATACTCCGTTCTCTCAAAAACTCGATTTGTATTTACTGCCCTCTTTATTCCGTATCTCCGTAACGGTTGGAGCTGCCTTTGCTAAAAACTAATCAGCACATCTCCCTATCAATAGGAATCGAATGTTTTTTGAACCATTCAAATCGGTTGATCCGTGCGCCCGAAAACGTGGACGAAAAAAGCGGACATACAAAATACACGAACACACACATCAATTTTTCTGAGGTATGCCAAAATGTTCATAAACCTTCAAAACGTCGAAAAATGCAAAAATTTTCATTTTCGATTTTTGGCCCATTACTATAACTACCCTACGGAAGTTAAAAAAAATTTATTTGTCAATGAATAATAAATAAAAATATTCCATATTTACAATGAAATTGACTGAATTTCATAATGTCCAATTTAAATGAAAATTCATTTCGCTTTATTGAATTATTTAGAAGGTCTTATCCTAAATAACTTACCTAAAACTTCTGCAAGACAGCAATGGTTCAGTCTTTATTCTCAAAAGTTCCATCAATTGCTTATTAATTAATAATACACTTAAAAATAATTTTACACTTTGCACTTTTTTATCACATGTTGTCGTTTAAACCACTGAAATGCAATTTTATTTTTATGCACTACCACTTTTATGTAAAACCACTATATAATAAAACACAATAAAAAACACTGCGCACTATCACTGCATTTTCTTAAATATTAGTAAATACCATGATCAAACAATGATGGGCTATAATGGCAAGCTTTAAAATAATAGCTAGTTATAAATTCAATTCTGATCAAGCATTCTAGTGGAACTAGACAATCTATTTCTTTTTAAATAAAAAAAAAAGAATTAACTATGATACTTTTGGTGCATATATTGGTTTAAATGGTCAATGTTTAAAAATAAAAAACAAGTTACTTACTTTTGAAGTATTGAATATCTCTTGGATTAATGCAGTGAGGTGAAATTAGTAAATCTTGAAAATCATTAACGTCAGCTTTACTATCAACACACAATTTAGGTTCACACAGCAATAAAGGTGATCTATCTTTAATTTTATAATGAAAAAATAATTAAATTTATGTGGTTGATTCTAACCAAATATTATTAATATTATTTACCATATTCTGATGGAGGTACACAATCAATAAGATAAGGTCTCTTTCTTGGATCGTTGTGATCAGTAATTAAATCCTTTAAGCTATTGTATGATTTACTTTCTGGATCTACATAAAGCTTCCATTTTTCACTTTGCAGTTCAACTTTGAAAGTTTCTGGATTTCCACTGCAATATAAATTGATTTGGTACAAATATACTATTCATAATCTCATAATATAAAACTAGAGGTGTGGTTTACCTTTCAGAACAAGCATCGATATAATATGTATTATAATATTGCTCACATTCCCTAACTACATAACTTCCATATCTGTTATTCCTTTTTTCTGCTAACTTAGCATAAGAAAATTGACCTCTACAATATTAATGAAAAATCACATTAAATTATGAGCATTGAAACGTATCACATTTGAATTATGATGATCAGTGGCGTCGGAACCAAATTTTTGATGGGTGGGCTCTTTTTTTTTTTTTTTGATAACCGGTGGGTTCGTTTTTTTTTTTAAGAGATATTAGCCCATATAATTTTTAGAAATTGATGCCACACAGCCCACACGGATCCGATGCCACTGATGATGATAATATACAATGATTTCTCAAATCAATGAAAGGAAGAATCCAATAAATTATATTCATAACTAACCCAACTGGTCCATGACATTTCCTTAAATGTAAAGTTTTCAAAGATGGTGTCGCTAATTCCTTACATAAATTAAAAGTCCATTTAACCATCAATCTAGAAAAATTATAATATACTTTGTTTAGACACAAAGAAATATCATTTTGCTTATAACAATCGTGAAATACCTGTAGTATCCATCAAGAAGACTTATAAATGAATCCATGGTAGAAACTGAGTG